TGGTGCCCACCTTGGGAGCAATGAGGTAGAGTGTGTTGTCCAGGCCTGCCTTGCTGCCATTCACCTCCATGTGCTGAGGCGCTGTACACCTGCCGTGGAGCTGCACCTCGCTGCCCAGCAGAAGGGGCTGGTGAGGAGAGCACGTTGAGGGGCCCAGCTGGGCTTAGGGCTACTTCACTTCATGCTCCCTGCCTGAAGGCCACAGCCCACACAGCATGTCCAGCATGTAAGTTTGCTGAATGCTGCTGAGCTTGTTCTTCATGACACGGGTGGAAAACAGCAGTTTGAAGGCACCGCACTCTTCATAACCAGACTCTACTGCTGGTGCCTCAGCTCCAAGTGGAAGGGCGGGAGAGAGGATGGCAGCCCCGCCCCCACCACCCTCCAGGCCCACCTTGATGCTCGCGTGTGATGCTTTCCATGGAACTTCTTCTGGCTCTTCAGCCAGATGGAGGGAATAGAGTTGCCCGCGGTCAGGCATCAGAAGCAAATGGTGTTGGTGTCTGGCACCACAAGCTGGTTCCTGTCCACCCACTGGAGCTGAGTCCAGTGGGGTCCCTGCTGGCAGAAGTGCACGGGAAGGCCATAGCCAAGGTGGGGAGCAGAGGCCCATCTGACCCGATGCCTTTCCAAAGCTGCCCTTGCCCACGCCAGCGATCTTGGTTTTTCCTCCTGTGTAGGGAGTGTTGGCCTTTCAAAGACCCCTGCCTAAGTAGATGAGGCTCCCAGGAGCCTTGACATCATGTTCCCCCACGTCAGGCTTTCTCAGAGCTGGACCATGTGTCCCCTCCCCATCTGCTTCCTGCAACTGGCAGCTCCTGCCGAGAGGTCCGGGGTGCCCCCCTTGGCCTTGGGGCCTTCAGGTCATAAGGGCATCTGCCAGGGGAGTACCCACCTGCCCAAGGAAGCACACTGAGGCAGGCCCACCAGGAGAAGACCTGGGACCCAGCTAGGTGCATGAACCAGGACAGGCCTTGGGAGCAGTTTACCAGAAGGGGAAATCCGGCTGCCTGGAGAACTGGGAGCCTCAGAGACGGCTGGGCAGCGATGGCCCACTGGAGTCTGCGCCGCTAGGCCTCCCTCTGTAGAGCTCCAGGGCTTGGTGGGTACCAGGTGAGGATGGCATCCAGGAGGCCCTGCCTCTGCCCCCTTCTGGTGTCCGGGGCTGCTGCAGCCTCTACCCTCAGCCCAATGGTTTTCTCCCCTGGGGGCACCAGGAGCCCAGGAGGAAGATAACCCCTCCTCATGATGACCTTTCTGTCACCCACCTACAGAGACATGCCCACTCCCAAGGTGACCTTGCTGTCACCCACCCACAGGGACACGCCCCCTCCCTGTGATGACTTTGCAGCCACCCACACACAGGGACATGTCCCCTCCCCATGATGACCTTGCTGTCACCCATAGGGACACACCCCTCCCCATGGTGACCTTGCTGTCACCCACAGGGACACGCCCCTCCCCGTGATGACCTTAATGTCACCCACAGGGACACACCCCTCCCCATGGTGACCTTGCTGTCACCCACAGGGACACGCCCCTCCCCGTGATGACCTTAATGTCACCCACAGGGACACACCCCTCCCCATGGTAACCTTGCTGTCACCCACAGGGACACACCCTTCCCCATGGTGACCTTGCTATCACCCACAGGGACACGTCCCCTCCCCGTGATGACTTTACTGTCACCCACCCGCAGGGACAGGCCCCCTCCCTGTGATGACCTTGCTGTCACCCATCCACAGAGACATATGCCCACCTCTCAGGGGATGATGCCAAGGCACTGGTGGGCACAGTATGGACAGATGCTGGGAAGAGGCACCTCCCAGAGCTCTAAGCTGCCCTCCCAGGCTTCCCGGGGTGGGGGACAGAGACCCCAGAAGACAGTGAGAGCCTAGGAAACTGCACCAGGGGCTCTTTCTCAGGATCAGGCAACTACAGTGACTCAACGGTGCTGTCCACGGCCAGACAATGCCTTCTGAAATGCTGCTGTCCAGGGACCCTCACAGCCCAAGCTCACAGGGGATGAAAACGCCTAACTCCTACCTGGGATGGTCAGGTAGGCAGGGGCAAGCAGGGACTCAGGGCAAGAGTACTGGATTATGTGATCAGGAGTAGGGGCCATGGGGACAGCACAGCCAAAAGAATTCTCGTCCTATCCCAGGACTCACTGCTCTGGCCTCTGGTCCCCCTGGGCTTTCCCCGACTTCCACCTCCACCTTCCACCTCCCAGGCTGGCTCCTCCTCACCTCCTTGCCTGCTCCAGTCCAGCGGGCATGGGGGCTCAGCCCATGCGCCATTGGTCCCCAGGTTGTGTGACTGCCCCCATCTACAGTTGAGCAAAGTGCACCTGCCTCTGTTCCAAGCCAGAACCCCTGGGCATTGTCCCCCTGATTGCTGTCTCACACCCACAGCCATCTGCTGGGAAACCCAAACCCTGCTGGCACTAATCTACAGCCCCCCATAGACACCCTCCCCCGCACTGGGCTGTGGCAGTCATCTGCTGGTGCCCTTAATGCCTGGGTCCATTCACCGCATTGCAGCCACCTGAGCTCTGCTGTAGTCACATCTGCGGGCTCCACCTCACCCAGAGTCAACACCAAAGTCCCCACAGGCCAGCCCTGGCCTCCTCCTTGCTCCTGGAGCCCTGCGCCTCCGTCTCCCCATCTGCTGCATGGGTGTCCCCTCCCACCCCCAGCCTGCTACCCAGGGCCCAGGGCCAGGCATACAGACCCATCTCGGTGGCCCAGCTCCTCCTCCACCCTGAGGCGACTTAGGGAGGTCATGCCCCAGACCTCAGTCCCTCACCTGCCTGTTGAGGTCTGGGCTTGCTGGGTAGGAGCAGGCCTCACCCCCGGCCAGTCTATGTGCCTGGAATCTGGTCTCCCCTGTGTCTTGGCCTCATCCTCCCATCTTCCTCGCCTCCCAAGGATGGAGCAGCTGCAGGGCAGGAGAGGGTGCGAGTGGGCGGGGGCCCTGAGGCAGCCCATGCCCCGGTGCCTACTGCTTCTCAGCTGGGGGAAGGGACTTTCACCCCAAGGGCTCAGTCTCTGGCTCACCCCAGGAGGACCCTAGGCGCCCCTCACAAGCGAGAATGGAGCCCCTCGGGCAGCACCTCCTGGGGGTCCTCTCCTCTCTACCAATGACAAGCAAGTCCTTCAGGGTAGGGTCGTGGCAGCCACACCTCCAGAGACCCCTTGGCTGCTCCTGGACCACACAGCTGCTCAGGGAACTTTAACCTCTGGCCCCCTCCACACAGCCCGGCATGACCCCTGCAGGCACTCGCCTGTCACTCGCACACAGAAGGGCACAGTACACACAGCCTGGGGGAGCCGCTGCCAGCCGCTGTTGGCCTCAGCGCTGTCTCGAAGGCATTGAGCACTAGCAGCCACCACTGCTGAACATCAGAAAGCAGTTCAGGACACCAGCCCTGCCCCAACCTTGACCCAGACACCGCTGGGTGGGTGGCAGCTCAGCTCCAAGGTGTCCCCCTGGTTAAGAGTAAATATTCCTACTGGCCAGAATCAGGCACTGGGATCTCTGTCAGTGACAGTCAGCCTGATGCAGGCACCCCAAAACCTGGCACAGCAGGACTCAACACCCCACAGGGAGGCCCCGTGGCACCCCCACTTTACAGACACACCAGCAGAGGCCACTGGAGCCCTGAGTGAGGAAGGAGCCGGCCCAGAGCCTGGGGTCTCAGCAGACAGTGCTCAAAACCAGGCATGGGCTGGAAACTGCCTAAAGAGCGGAGGGTCAATATTTTCAACTTTGTCAATGCTTCCGTCCCAAGGACGGGGCCCTGCAGTTGCAGCGTGACCACAGCCTTCCACAGACAATGTGTAAATGAACAGGCAAGGCTACACTCCCGGAAAACTTCACTATGGACATGGAAACTTCTAACTGGAAAGTGTCATAAAGTGTTAATCTTCTTTTGATTTTTTTCCTATTGCTTGGGGATATAAAATTCACTCAGTTCATGGGCAGCACAAAAGCAGGTGGGGACAGGATTCGCCTGGCTGACCTCTGGCTGACGTGGAGTTCAGGGGAGAAAATGATGGGATGGGGCAAGCCCAGCCCCCTCACAGTAGAGATTCACCCAGGAGGGGTCCCTGTCAGCACCCCCTCCCCATCCCTCGTCTTGGCTTCAGGAGTAGCTCAGGTGGAGAGTTGGGGAACAGAACGGGCCTCAGCACCAAGGATGGAGATGCAGGCCCAGGCAGCCGTGTGGACAGATCCACTCAACAGTGCACACTGCAGGGGCTGTCAACACCAAGCCAAACAGGCTTGACCAGCCAAGGGGCCCAGAGTGGGGGCTTTCGGGGGTGGGAATGTTCTATACCCTGCGGCTCATATGATAGCTCCACACAGCGGTAGTTACAGAAAACACACCCTGAGAAAAAGCAAAATACAAACAGGACACCAGGTCTGGCCAGTTGGGTCTGACAGGCCAGTGGAGTGAGGAGGCCCAGGTGGGCTCATAAGAGTGGCTAATAGCAAACTCTACCTGCATGGGGTTTGGAACCCTGTGTCTCCCAGAGGAGGACTCAGGCTGGGAGAAGGAAACTGTCAGAGTCACCAGGCGAGCTAGTCAGAGCTGGAGCCATAGAGCAGGTAAACAGTCCTGGGCCCCAACCTTGAAGGCTGAGAACCTGGGGTGGGGGCACATCTAAGGGCAGATACACACAGGTAGCCCCTGGGCCCCTCCCCCTGCCCAGTGAGCACCTAGCTCCTCAGGGGCCACCAAGGCCTGATAGCAGGGACGCACCAGCAGACCATCACCCCCAGGCCTCTGCCAAGGTCAGACAATACCCAGTGCAGACAAGGTGGTTCTGCTGGGAAAGCCTCTCCCCAGATCCAGCTGGACCAGCGATTCTTTAACTTGCCATTCTGCTGACACTGGGCCTAGATCCAAGGGCCCCGCTGCCCACATTGGCCACGCCAGTCCTTGGCTCCCTGGCCAGGCCGAATTCTGCCCATCCTGCCTAAGCCAGCTCCACATGCCCAGTTCCCACCAGGATTCTGCCAGCCAGAAGGACCCCCACTCACCCCCTGAAGCATCCACAGGAGCCTGCATCCCACAGGGACCTACAGCTCATGGCCAGGTCTTGTGGTCAGGGGCTCCCGCCCTGATCTCTTCCCTCCAGTGCTGGACATTGTGTCTTGTGGGGACCACCCAGAGCTGGGAGATGCCACCCCCCAGAAGGCAGAAAACTGACTGTTCATGGCAGCCTCAGGCCCAGGCCCTGGTCCAAGGGCAACAGCTGGTTGGTTCCAGTTTGGTGAGGGCAACTGACAACAGGTGAAGCCATCCGTACGAGTATTTCCTTCAAACTGGCCTAGTGAGGGGCTGGGGAGGACCCACAGTAGCCCCCAGCCCCACCAGTGTAAGCAGGGGTGGGGGAAAAGACTCCATGTTCAGCCAAGGGCTGACCCCTGAGCTGCCCACCCTCTCAGCCCACTAGGGGCCAGATTAGGGACCCCTGACTTCAGGCAGAGGCAGGCGGCAGAGTTACTGCCTCCTGTGAGCCCACCCCAGGGCCCCTGGGGACACATGGCAGGGCCCCGAGTTGGGGGAATGAGGCAGGGGAATGCTGAGTGAAGGATGTGTGGAACTGGGCAGGAATGGGCACTAAGGCCAGGGTCTGGCTCCCCCTGGGGAGGTGGCAGTGGAGCACGGGGCAGCCAAGCCCCCACATCCCCCACTGCCACCTGCCCAGCTGCCGGGCATAATGGTACCTATACTCCCCTGGCCACTCCAGGAATGGTTTTTTTTCGATCAATAGAAAGGGGCCCAGTCCACACCCACATAGGCACAGGAGTCCACACACATCAGAGAACAAAACTGCTGTGCCAGGAAAGGGTGAAAATGTTCCCCTCCTGCTGTGGGTCCCACAGCACCTGCTCCTGCCAGCACCCTCACCCCACAAGGTACTGACCCAACCAGGGTGCCACATGCCAAGAACAGCCCAAAGGCTATGGCAACCTGGAAGGGCTGTTCAGGACCTGGGCATGTTTCCCAGTCACAGTCTCCCTGACTTTGCTGCTCACTGGCCTTGTGCCTCAGTTTTCCCCACTGTGGCAAAGGTAATCTCACCCTGAAGGCTAGGGGGTCTGAAAGCAGAGGGCGGAGATATTTCCTGTCCTGGGTCTCTTGCCCAGAGATCACTGTGCATCAGGCCATGGCCAGGCCAGTCTCCTGGGGGGACTGTGTTCCCTGTCTCCTGCCTCTGAAGTCTAGTGGCCAGATCCAGGTCGCTACAGTTAAGAGCCCCCAGTGTATTGGGGGAAGCTCCCGTTGGGGGGCGGGGGCGGATGGAGGTGGAATGATGCTCCATCAAAAGGGCCCTGGGTGGGTCCCAGAGAACAAGCATCAAATTGAGGCCCTTTTCTGAAGTTGGCTGCCCAAGGAATTTGAGTTTTGGAGTGAGATGAGAACGTGGGGTCAGGGAAGAAAGCATTTTGGTTTTGGAAATGCATAAAGTTCTCTGAAGCTCTCTGAGGTCCAGATGTTTCGCTAGGTATGGGCTTTAAAAGGGCCTAGAAGGAGTGGGGGCACCCATAAGGGACAATGCAGCCAGGGGCCAAGGTCCGGCCTGCTGCCTCCCCACCTGTAGGCATTCCAGAGTTCCATAGCGAAGTCAGAAAAGAAAAGTAAAAAAGATCTGCAGCCAAGGAGGGCTCACGAGAGCTTACCAGGATTGTCCAGTTTAATCGTCAAAACACCCCTGACATATGGGTCCTTCCTGGCAGGTGAGGAAACTGAGGCTCTAGTAGGGCATCCAGAGCTGGGGCGGGCAGTTGGCAGCCTGCAGCCCTTGAGGTCCTGGCAGATCTTCCCTGGCCCCCAGCCAGACACGCTCCACTCCAGCTCATTCACCTGTCAATCACCTGTCCAGGACTCAGGCCGGCTGGGCCTCCCGTCCTCCCGCCAGCCCCCTTGCTCATCGCTGGGGCCTCCCTGCGAGGCTGTCAGCGGCCGAGGTGGGCGCCCTTGCCGGGGTGGGTAGCCGGCTGTCCCCCGGATCAGGCCCCCTGCAGCAGCCTGCCTGGAACCCGAGCCTGGCCGCGCAGGGAAGGAGCGGCGGCCCCGGAATTGCTCCGCCCAGCTAAGGCCGGGGCAGTGGCTCCCGTGCAAGGTGCGCCTGTGCAGCCTGCAGCCCCTGGGCCCTGGGCCCTCCTGGAAAACCCTTCACCTCCTGCGGGACCTGGACCGCCAGCGGCCTCCCAACCCTGGGCCATCTGCCCCTCGCCTCCGCCTGGCATTGGACTTCTTAGAACCCTGGGCACGAGGGCAGCGTGGGCGCAGCGGAGGCTGTGAGTCCAGGCCGGCCGCTGAGAGGACGCGTCCACCCCACCCTCCTCCAAACGCCGTCCTCCTGCTTCAGCCAAAGCCGTCCCGGAGACGGGCCCAGGGACTCCCCGCTGCGGCCTCGCGCTCCGGGGTGGCCCCGCGGCTCCCAGGGGTGGCCCCGCGGCTCCAGGGGTCACACGCTCCGCCGCGCCAGCTCGGACCGACCGCAGACTTCGGGAGCAGCAGCAGCGCCGCGCGGGCCCCGACCCCACACCCTGCCCCGGCGCCTCCGCCTGCAGGACCCCGGCCCTCCCCGGGCTCGCCGGGTCCTTCCTCCCCCGCCGCTCCCCCGACCACGCGCGGTGCCGGCCGGCTCCAAGGCGGCGCCAGCCAAGACGGTCCCGGCCACGCAGCGGTGGGTGCGGTGGGTGCGGCCCCCACCACGGGCCCGGCAGGCGGGGAGGACGCGCTCCCAGTCTCCGGCAATGGACGGACCCCTCCGACTCCGGCCGCCTCCTCCCCGCCGAGGTCCCTCCGGGGCAGCCGCCGCACACTTTCCGGAGCGGGAGCGACTGTGAACCCGAGTCCTCCCCGCGCCCGCCCGGGGACCCACTAGTGCGGCCGAGCGACCCGGCGGGACCCACAGGGCGCCCCCTTCCCGCGTCCTCTCCACCTCCGCGCTGGGGCCGAGGCCCGGGTCCGGCGCGGGGTGCGGGACGAGGGTGCGCAGTCGGGAAAACAGTCGGTCCTGTGTGGCCGTTTGGCCGGGCGGGGGCTCAGCCTGTAACCCCCACAATTTGGGAGACTGAAGCGGGAGGCGCGCCTCGGTCCACGAGTTCAAGCCCCGTTGGGGAAATCCGCCCCGCCCCGCCCGGCGGGTACCCCGAGTCCAGCGGAGACAAAGGATTTAGAAAGAGACAGAATAAGAGTTAAAAGGCGGGTCCGGGGGACTGGAACGTGGGAGGCTAGTTCACGGCCCGAGCTCTCGGCCTCCACCCAATTTGTTGGTTAACAAGCTCTTTGTGCTTAGGGCAAATGGGAGGGGTAAGAAGGGATGAGGAAAGGATTAAATACTGAAGGAGAACTCGTGAGTCATTCGATAAGGTGTATAGCAGTGGCGGTTTCTGCGAATTTTCCTTGAGCAAAGGCGCGTGTCTAAACTACTTAAGATCTTTAACTTAAGATTGGGACTGAAATGGGTGGGAGTGGGTTTCAGGAGGAGCCAAGATGATTATACTCCACTTCAACGGAGTGTCATCTCCCCGAGCACCTGTAGCATGCGGCTGAGCTGTTACACTGTGGGGCATAAAGACATGGAGGCAATAAGGAGACTTTTCTCCTCAGAGACCGCCCATGGCTCCCCATGAATGTCTCACACAGGGGAGATCAACTCATCTGGCATTCCAGAAACTCTGTTTCCCACATGTGCCCCTCTTTTTGTCTCTATTATATATATGTATTTTTTTTTTATTAATAACCGCCGTGGCTATTTCCTTCACTGTGCCTGACTTCTCTCCCAAGGCGCGTCCGCATCTGTAGACTAAAAACAAACAGCATAAACAGACACAAACCAAAATAAAATTTGCAATCGTTGATCCACCTATGGTTTTAATCCACTTTAAAGGATTAGTGTTAGAAGGGCCATCAGCAGCTCCAGTAAGAATATCAGCTCCAGGCAACAGGCTGAGATGAGCCTGAGATGCCTCGAAAAGTTGTTTTTTCAGTTTAGCAATATCTAATGTTAAATTATCTTCTTTTCCTTGTAGGTGACATCTAATCGTCTCCCAGTGGTGTTCAGTGGCACTATAAGAGCTAGGAGTAATACAAAAGTCAGAAGTATTCAAATCACATTGCATTTGAATTCTATGCTCCAAGCTCATAATCCGATCTCCCATCCAAATTACTGTTTGACGGGGAGGATCATTCATTTGATTTGCCAATTTTTGTTCTGTTTGGCTTTGGGAATTCCAAAGCTTAGAAGAATTGTTCTGCCAACTATCCACAAAGCCCATAGTTTGAATAGAAGAGTGCAAAGCAACACCAGCAGCAGCAGCAGCTATGACAGCTAAAAGGCCCATGATCACAGCTATTAAAGTAAATCTGAATCTCTTTGATCTACTAAGTATTCCTTTTAGTACTTCGGTGATACTATGTATGGAGGGACAGGTCTCCCAAGGTCTATTGAGGGAAACAGGTACCCAAACTCCTTCTCAGGCCCTAACCACGATTTTTATTAGAGGTAGAATCAATGCAGGTAAAAAGACAACAGCTGAGGCATGATATGGTTTGAGAGTCAGGTAGGATGTTAATTTTTCCCACTGCCAACATAAAAGGAGGTTTAACACAGCTCTGCAATGGGACCGTCCGATTAGAGGTCATGGCTACAACAAATTGAAGTTTTTACTATGGGTCTCTGTTTTATATTCTCCTTTCCAAATCCGAATTGGGGTTTGAGCCATCATTAATTTCCACAATTCTGGATGTTCTGTACTTTTAATTGGGTCACTCATTTTTGGGCTTGGGGGAGCCATACCATTCTCCTCCCACTTAATAGGGTAATTTGTTTCAATTCTTCTATGTAATTTTGGTGCATTATCTGGGTAGTCATTTGCAAAAGTAGTCACTCTACAATCTTTGCTCTGTCCGGTACAATTTACTGCAAAGTGTCCCCTAGGGGCCCAATCAATGATGATTCCATAGGAATTATTTTGCAGTACAGCAGCACTGTTTGCAATACAATCTTCCGAGGTTAGCACCTCTAGCTTCTCAGGCCATTTAATGGCAGGAGGTTCTTATTAGGTTTAAATGTATTAATCTGGTGATGTGTCATAACATAGCCATGCTCAAGGTATTTAATAGTGTCCAAAGATTGAAATGTTCTTCCACTGATTACATGAATAAAGGCTTTTTATCCATTATGTGCAGGAACATAAGCCATCCAACTTTGTGTATCATAATTTAAACATCCCGCTGCCGGCCCCAGGCAGATGGGAGGAAAGCGATAACCAATAGAAATATTCATTAACATTCCTTCCTCCTCTGGATGAGCAGGACCTCAGTTATCTGTTGGTCCAGGCATCCAGACACTATCATTAACATAAACCTCCACTGGGGTGTCTAACCGTGTAACAGGCCTAACCAGTGGTGGGAATGGAATGTAGGACCAATAAGATTTTTCTTATATTCAGGGGGAGAGGATGGTATTACTCCCAATATCGCAGGGGTTGTACACACCTCCTGCGATATTGTTCCTAATATCACGAAGGGGAGAGCATAATATTACTCTCAATATCGCAGGAAGTATACACCTCCTTTGTAATATTGTTCTCCCCTCTCCCTGCCTAGCTATTACGATCCACATCGCAGGGGGGTGAGGCACCCCCCGCGATATGGGGAGTAATAGCCACCCCTCTCCTCCTCTCCCCCCAGCCTTATATAAGGAGGCTGGCCTTATATAAGTGCCCCCCAATGCCATCGCAGGCTTTAATGTATTCACTTAAAGTTTTTTCCTCATTTAGATCTGCCTTTCCCTTAATAGGTCTAATTGCTGCCTGACATTCTGTTTGAGCATTTTCATGAGCAAGCAGCTGAAGGATCACTTTCTTGGCATGAGAATCGGAAATAGCCTTTTGAGCTGCATCGTGCAAACAGGCGATACAATCTGGATAAGGCTCCCTTGGACCCTGTTGAACTGTGTTAAAAGAAGGATAAGCAGTAGCAGGGTCGTGAATTTTTTCCCAGGCTCTTAGGCATGTAGTTCTGAGCTGATCAACAACCTCATCACCCATTTCCATCTGTTGATTTAGAGTACCCCATGCCTGTCCGATTCCAAGCAATTGATCAGACGTGATATTAACAGGATGTTGGGCTTGAGCATTTCTGCGTGCCTGATTTGTTGCTTCATCCGTCCACCAGATTTTAAATTGGAGAAATTCAGAGGAGGACAGGGTGGATCGGGCTAATGCCTCCCAATCCACAGGTATTCAACGTCTGTTATAAGCCACACATTGTAACAAGGAATGAACATAAGGAGAGTTTGGCCCATATTGTCCAATTGCTTGCTTTAAGTCTTTTAATATTTTAAAAGGAAATGGCTCCCAGCTTGCTTGAGCAAGTTCTCTGGCCTCCTCAGCTGGCGAAATAATGACCAAAAACTGCCAAACATTCAAATCCCCCATTTCTTGTGCCTGGCGAATGGATGCCTGGATTGTCCCTGTGCCATAATTTGTATTCCGACCGGCTGGCAGCACTCCTCTACCGTAATTAACAGGTGGGCAAGCCTAGATCATTCCCTCATCCTAATTGGCTGTTGGACAAGCCTGAAGCTTCCCTTTGCCATAGTTACTGGCGGGGCCTGCAACAATGGGAGCAGCAAGGCGCGTCTCAGGCTCCCCTTCCAAAAATTCCTAAGGCTGGCCTGGGGGTGGCCATTCCAGACCTTCCCCTAAAAGCGCAGTAGGTGGCCCTGTTTTTTTATAAGTTTTTGGAGATTAGCATACATACCTTCCCGTTTCTCGCCCTTTTTAAAACTAGACTATGATGGTTCACTTTGCTGAAAATTAGACTCCTGATTATTCGACTTTCCTATGTCATCCTGGAACTCCTCCTTCTCCTCCTCAGCGTGGAAGGGCTCCAGGGCTGTTTTAACTGACGACCACACAGACCAAGCAGAGACGGGAATATCGCGGCCCTCTTGTTGTGCTGGTTTTAAGTCTGATCCGACCTTGTCCCAACCTTCTACATTCATGGCTCCATGTTCCGGGAACCAAGGAGAATACTTGTCTACCAGACGGAACAAAGATGTGAGATTTGGGGTACTGACAATTACCCCTCCGCGGCGCAGTAAGTGCTGCACAAGGCTTAAGTAATTAGCGAACTTACTCTCAGCCTGACCCACATTTTCCCGAGGTTTCCCTGGAATTCTCCGAGCGCCCACTTACCCTAGAGCTTGAAGTGAAAACCTACTCGGGAGTCCTTTGTCGGTCGTCCTCCGCTTTCCACGCTCTGGTGTTCCTTTACTGGATTATTTGTAGAGATTACGGGGAGCCCCCCGGTAGGCACCAGAGACCAGCCTGGGCAACCGAGGGAGACCCCCGTTTCTACCAAAAAAAAAAAAATTAGCTAGGTGTGGTGTCGCTCGCCTGTAATCTCAGCTACTCCATGAAAAGTCAGACAAAACCTGCCACCAGAGACTGATTTCCTTCTGAAAAGCTTTCTCCAAAATATTTTTAAAACAAAAAGGGGGAAATTGGAAAGGAAAATATTTTGGGCCCCCCAAATCACTAAGATAAAGGGAAAAGTCAATCTGGGAACTGCTTAGGGCAAACCCGCGTCCCATTCTATTCAAAGTCATCCCCTGATCACTGACAAGCATGAATATCTTATTGCCTCCTGTGGAAAGGCTCATCAGAAACTCAGAAGAATGCAACCGTTCCTCTCTTACTTGCCTGTGACCTGGAAGCCCCCTCCTGGCTTCGAGTTGACCCGCTTTTGCTTCAGGTTGTACCGGATCAAACCAGTGTACATCTTACATATGTTGATTGATGTCTCCTGTCTCCCTAAAATGTGTAAAACTGTCAGATACAGTCAGTTTCGCTTCCAAGGTTTGGCATGTTAACAAAACAGTTCTTGTGTTTCGTTCTCGAACTCAGCTTTCTTGTTCTCCAAGCCTCCTTGCCCTTAGTTACTGTAAACAACCTTCCCCTCAGTTCTAATCAATCACTCACATCTGTTCCCTTGGTTACCTGCTCTGCACCCATTTCTCCCTTCGAAACCACACGTTCCACCGTTGTAACTTACAACCCCCTTCCCCCTTCCTTATTTGGGAAAATAGTCACAAAAAGCCAACGGGGTCAGTTTAGATCTTGAGGTCTGGGCCCAGCCCATGCCAGAGGTAGGGATTGCATTAGGAATAAAAACCCCTGCTTTCCTTTGTTCCGTGTGCTCTTGCGATTGTGACTGATGCGAGCAGCACCCTTCCGCAGAGGTAAATTGCGTTGCTGAGAAAACTTTCGCTTGAGTGCTGGTTTCACTTTGCCTCACCCAGCATTTATCTCCAACAAAACCAAGCTGTGCTCTGACCACCTTGGGCAGCTGTCATCAGGACATCCAGAGGCTGTGTCATGCACAAGCATCCCCAACCTTGGCAAAATAAACTTTCTAAATACTTTTTTCCCCAAATGCTCAGGGAGACTGATTTGAATAATCCTAAAACTCCGAGGCTGCACTCCATCCTGGGCGACAGAGCAAGACTCTGTTTCAAAAAATAAAATAACTCCGATCTCCCGCACAGCCGACTCTGCGTGAATTACTCCTTCTCTATTGCTATTCCCCCCGTCTTGAGAAATCGGCTCTGTCTAGGTAGCGGGCAAGGTGAACCCACTGGGCAGTTACAGAATTGTCACTATATTGCTTGCAATTTTATATATATATTATGCACAAATAGCTATAACCTTGTATACAAGGTTAAATGCGAATGTCCTCCTTGCATGGTCAGATCCCAGCGCAGGAAGGACGCACGCCCTACAAACCGCTGGGCCAAAACGGTCATTCGGGCCTCATCCAGCCTCACGTGAGATCGCAATCTCCTGTCACTCAGGGCCTGAGGGGGCGGGGCCTGAAGCCCCATACAATCAGGGAAGCTGGGGGTGGGGACCGTTTAATCAGGCGCGCCGCCGGAAAGGAGAGGGCGGCTTCCGGGATTTGGCTGGCGGGCGCTTTGTCTCGCCTTCGCCACCGTAGGCTCTTTCTGTGAGTCTCCGCTGCTGCTTCTTGGCTCTGGGAGGCCCAGGTAGCTCGGCAGCAGCCTCGGCTACCCTGTGACCTGCGGGTGTTGGGACATCCCTAGCGGACGCCAGGACACCAGGGAAGCCGAGGAATGGTGAGTGGACTGTGCCTGGCTTCCCGAAGTGGGGAAGAGGGCTGGGTGAAACCTGCTGGAACCAGCCATGGGCTGCGGAACCTGCGGACCCAGTCGCGGAGGCGCAGCCGGGCCTCAGTCCCCTTCTGCGCAGGGCCGGGCGGCGCGGGCAGCGGGACCCCTGCGTCCTGTCTGTACCTGTGGGCGCCACTTCCGCCGGCCGGAGCCCTCTCCGGAACCCTGCGCCTCCCCCACCCAGTTAGTGCGGTGACCACGGGAGGGTGATCCGGGAGAGCCCGGCCCGGTGTGCGGGGTTCCAGCGTGGGAGGAGCTGTGGTTCATGGAGCTTCCAGTCCCACCTTTCTCCCCCTAAAATTAACCTGAGGCTTTGTTAAAACGTTAAACGGTGTGTTTGAGCAAACGCGATTCTTAAACGGGTACCGCAGTCATGGTTTGTGGTTTGGGGTCCACGGGAGGGGCGTAAATGAGAGGCTTTGATAAGGTCAATGAGGAAGCAAACCATTTATTTATTTATTTATTTATTTTGAGACGGAGTCTCGCCCTGTCGCCAGGCTGGAGTGCAATGGTGCAGTCTCAGCTCACTGCAACCTCTGACTCCGGGTTCAAGCGATTCTCCTGCCTCAGCCTCCCAAGTAGCTAGACTTATAGGCGCCACCATCACGTCCAGCTAATTTCTGTATTTTTAGTAGAGACAGGGTTTCGCCATGTTGGCTAGGTTGGTTTCGAACTCCTGACCTTAATTGATCGCCCACCTCGGCCTCCTAAAGCTCTGAGATTACAGGCGTGAACCACCTTGGCCAAAATATTTTTGTTTCCAAACATTTTACATGAGAGGAAAGCGGAGAATAAATCATCTGACACTCTACTGTAAAAAAAAACTTGGTGCCTCTCTTCTTTTCATCTTTCCTAAGTGTACATATGTATGACCTCAATGTCTTTAGGTTGAGGTCCCCCCGTGAAAACTTGACAGGGTGTTGTGTCCTCAGACACCCTCCTGTCTTTTCCTAGTCCTGGCATTTTAGAACTGTCTGGGGATGACCCAGGATACCCACAGTGGCCATGTCTATTGGAGGGTCTAGTGAGTATCAGCCCCGGGGTCATCTCATCGCCAAGGACAGCCTGAGGTAGGGGGTAGAGTCTCTCAGGGGAGCAGCTGGATGCTCTTGGCCTTAGAGGAATCTCCTCATATAGTTTCATCTAAAATGGTGACCCTTTAGGGTCATTAAAATTTTAGGACATTAAAATTAATGGACAATACAATGTAATGTCATTAAAGTTAGGTCATTAAAATTGTTCCTCCAGCCGGAGCTTTTATTCCTCGGAGACACATGGATGGTCTGCCAATGGGATGGTGATATTGAGAGGAAAAGGCAGAAATGATTTCTGCTCTCTAGCTTGTCTCAGACTTGTGAAGAGAGAAAAACCGTCCCAAAGGACAAGGAAAACCCACCCCAGAGAGGATGTGCAAGAACCTGAATATGAAAATGCACTCAAGGCACACAGGAGGACAAAGAGCAGTGCCAGTGCCTCCTAGGTGGTCACTGAGTACTTTACTGAACAGGATGGGTGTCCCGAGGGATAGAATGGCCTGCCGTGACACTTAGAAAGGTCTGTGTTGGAGTCAGCACTGCTTCCCTGAGTTTGTTACCTTGAAAAGGCTTGTCCGCTTATTTCAGTTTCAATTTTTCATTGACTGTGAGATACATTTTGTCAGTATAGCTTGAAAGATAAAAATACTATTTCCAAAGAGGCAAGGTAAAATGATGTATTTTATTTGCTAAAAATTCATATTTATTGCTTCCCCAGAGTGAGTGTGGTAAGTTTTAAAGGTCTGTTCTTATTTTATTTGCTAAAAATTCGTATTTATTTCTTCCCCAGGGTGAGTGTAGTAACTTTTAAAGGTCTGTTCTTTTTAGGGGTAATTTCAAATGGAATTGTAGGACTTAGCTTTGTAAATGCTACTGGTGAAATAAAAGTGTGACAGATAAATGGATGATTTACAAAGATTCACCAAAATGTCAGTTCCCCTCTTGTAGCTTGGTGAAGAATTTATGACAGTGGACACATCTGTATCCTCTTACGTGGATATCTGAAGGTTTTGTTGTTGTTGGTTTTTGTTTTTTTGGAGACGCAGTCTTGCTCTGTAGCCCGGCTGGAGTGTAGTGGCACCATCTCTGCTAACTGCAACCTCCGCCTCCTGGGTTCAAATGATTCTCCTGTGTCAGCCTCCCGAGTAACTGGGATTATAGGCACCCACCACCACACCCAGCTGATTTTTGTATTTTTAGTAAACATGGGGTTTTAGGCCTGGCATGGTGGCTCATGCCTGTAATCCTAGCACTTTGGGAGGCCAAGGTGGGTGGATCACGAGGTCAAGAGTTCCAGACCAGCCTGGCCAACATGGTGAAACCCTGTCTCTACTAAAAACACAAAAAAATTAGCTGAGTGTGGTGGCAGGCACCTGTCATCCCAGCTACTCAGGAGGCTGAGGCAAGAGAATTGTTTGAACCCAGGAGGTGGAGGTTGCAGTGAGCCAAGATCTTGCCACTGCACCCCAGCCCAAGTGACAATGCGAGACTATCTCAAAAAACAAATAAACAAAAAAGACAGGTTTTTGCCATGTTGGGCAGGCTGGTCTCAACCTCCTGACCTCAGGTGATTGTCCGCCTCAGCCTCCCAAAGTGCTGGGATTACAGGCGTGAGCCACCATGCCTGGCCCACTCTGTTTGCTTTTTATTCCCTAAATTTTAATATGTTTGAGTTTGTCTGTTCCTTTATCACTTTTTTCTTCCATAAAAAAATTCTGCCTAATCCTTCGTAAAAAAAAAAAAAAATCTTCCTGTGACTTCTGAAAGTGTTCTGGCTTTATCTTTCATATTTGAATATATAATAAGTTGATTATTCATGGAATAGAGAAGAATGCAATGCATTTTCCCAAGTAGATGCCAGCCTGGTTTGCCTCATATTTTAAAGTGCATGTGATTTCTTTTTCTATTCTACAGTGCCTACTCTATCATTCATCAACCTTCCATATAAATGCTGGGTCATTAAGACTTTTTTTGCCTTGGTCTGCTTGTGCTTGTTCATCTCTCTGCTAATACTGTGCTGTCCTGAATATTTTTGTTTGAAAATCTTGGAAGTATGTTAGGCAAGCCATCACTCTTTTTTTAGATGACTAAAAATCATTAGACATTGGTCATTTTTACTAGGTATGAAAAAGTAGTTTTTCTTGCCTAAAAAAGCCTGATTTGGGAATTTATGTGATTTCATAAGAATAGCATCTGGAAGTGGTGACATTAATGTCATTTTTAAAAACATGTGCCATATTTCCTCTTATTCCTTTCTGCTTTGACATTGTGCAATAGAAAATTTTAAAATTGTTGTATTAGTATTGTTAAATATCAATTATTGGTTTTATTTACTAAATTAAATTTAATAAGCCTATTCTTTCTTGGTGTAATCACATGGAATGGGCACAACTCCCCAGTTAACAAGTGACAGCACATGTAAAATATTGTCTTCCAGGGAAACTCATTGAACACTTCGTGTTCAGACTGTGTTTTGGTGTCTGGTTTCATAAGCACCACTGCGGTGACATAAAATAATAGACCTTCAGCAGAAAAAGTTTTGGCAAATATATTGCATAAGCTGTTTAGATGCAGTGAGGCATTCTTATTACTTGGGTTGGTGGAATCCCTTTCAAAATGTAAGTTACTAATACAAACAAAGATTGAACTTTGCGAGCAGGCATTTTTAAGACTAAGAGTCTCAGGACTGATAATATTAACTCACTTACGCTCATTAGGTAGGACTTTAGTATGACAGATACTAGAAATGTACAAAGTGAAGTTAAAAGGTAACTCCTAGCAGCATATCGTAATCTTACTCCCTGGATTCTCTAATGAGATGGGTGTTTCTACTTTGCTGTTGCCTTTTTGAATAGTTCAATTCTAGCATTAGTACTGCTGTGTGGGAGGGAGTATGTGTGAACAGAGTAAGAGTTGTGACAATCAAGTCATAGAATAAATGCTTGGAAATTTTAGAATCATGTAAACAGCTTATGAATTGAGTGTACATTCCCAGTGCTGTCAGTCTCACCCATCCTATCCACATGTGTGGAATGTTCTAGGACTCCGTGGCTTTTGAGGATGTGGCTGTGAACTTTACCCAGGAGGAATGGGCTTTGCTAGATTCTTCTCAGAAGAATCTCTACAGAGAAGTGATGCAGGAAACCTGCAGGAACCTGGCTTCTGTAGGTGAGAATGACAACACATTTCACTTAATTACAGAAGTATTTCCCTATCATCAGTGCTATTTGTGATTTGGAATGTGGCAAGGGAATGATTTGGTGAAGAAATCAGGCATAGGCACTGTGTACAATGAACATTAAATCTAGTAATTTTTTTTTTTTTTTTTGAGACAGAGTCTCGCTCTGTCTCCCAGGCTGGAGTGAGTGGGCGATCTCGGCTCACTGCAAGCTCCACCTCCTGGGTTCACGCCATTCTCCTGCCTCAGCCTCCCGAGTAGCTGGGACTACAGGCGCCGCCACCTCGCCCGGCTAGTTTTTTGTATTTTTTAGTAGAGACGGGGTTTCACCGTGTTAGCCAGGATGGTCTCGATCTCCTGACCTCGTGATCCGCCCGTCTTGGCCTCCCAAAGTGCTGGGATTACAGTCTTGAGCCACCGCGCCCGGCAAATCTAGTAATGTTTCTATAGTTTGTAATAATTCATGATAATTTTGTGGGTCTGCATTTTAGGAAACAAATGGAAAGACCAGAATATTGAGGATCACTTCGAAAAACCTGGGAAAGATATAAGGTAATTTGCACTGAGAAGAGGAAATAAAAGTCTTCTTAAGCATGTCATGAACTTAAAAACAAGCAATCAAAACAAATAAGAGTCGCTTGAAATTTATTTCTTTTTAGAAAAATTTCACCCAAAATGTAACATACTTCAGTGTAGCAGTGAGTGTTTGGAAAACAGTTTACTTGAAAATAGTACTACAAAATTGTGTATATGAATATTACTATTTTGGTCATAGCCATGCAGGTGGTAGCTGTGTTTTCAGTAGTAACCCATTTACTTTCAAATAATTCAGTCATGGCAAAAAAAAAAAAAAAAAAAAATGCATTTTCCCTGGTATTGGTAGCAGTGTAAGTCGAAGACCTATGAATGAGTAGAAAGTTATTAAACCAACCAATAATAATGTGCTTGTCATTTTTTTTACAGAAATCATATGGTACAGAGACCGTGTGAAAGCAAAGAAGGTAGTCAGTATGGACAGGTTGTCAGCCACATTCCAAATCTTGATCTGAATGAGAACATTTCTGCTGGATTAAAGCAATGTGAATGCAGTATTTGTGGTAAAGCCTTTATACGTCATTCCCTCCTTAACAGGCACATCCTAGCTCACTCAGGATACAAACCATATGGAGAGAAGCAATATAAATGTGAACAGTGTGGGAAACTCTTCGTTTCTGTTCCAGGTGTTAGAAGACACATGATAATGCACAGTGGAAATCCAGCTTATAAATGTACAATATGTGGGAAAGCTTTTTATTTTCTCAATTCAGTTGAAAGACATCAGAGAACTCACACAGGAGAAAAACCCTATAAATGTAAACAATGTGGTAAAGCGTTCACTGTTTCCGGTTCTTGTCTAATACATGAACGAACTCACACTGGAGAGAAACCCTACGAATGTAAGGAATGTGGAAAAACATTCAGATTCTCTTGTTCTTTTAAGACACATGAAAGGACTCACACTGGAGAAAGACCCTATAAATGTACCAAATGTGATAAAGCCTTCAGCTGTTCCACTTCCCTTCGTTACCATGGAAGCATTCATACTGGAGAGAGACCCTATGAATGTAAACAATGTGGCAAAGCCTTTAGTCGTTTGAGTTCCCTTTGTAACCATAGAAGTACTCATACTGGAGAGAAACCCTATGAATGTAAACAATGTGACCAAGCCTTCAGTCGCCTCAGTTCCCTTCACCTCCACGAAAGAATTCATACTGGAGAAAAACCCTATGAATGTAAGAGATGCGGTAAAGCCTACACTCGTTCCAGTCACCTTACTCGCCATGAAAGAAGTCATGATATAGAGGCTGGGTGTAGTGACTCAGCCTATAATCCCAGCACTTTGGGAGGCCAAGGTGTGTGTATTGCTTGAGCCCAGGAGTTCATAACCAGCCTGGATTAAAACAATGTGAAACAACCTGGGCAACATGGTGAAACCCTATCTCTACAACAAATAAAATAATGCCGGGCACAGTGGCTCACACCAGCTACTTGGGAGGCTGAGGCAGGAGAATGGTGTGAACCCGGGAGGCAGAGCTTGCAGTGGCCGAGATTGCACCACTGCACTCCAGCCTGGGCGACAGCGTGAGACTCCATCTCAAAACAACAACAACAAAAAATCATTGCTGGGCATGGTGGCACATTTCAGTTGTCTTAGTTCTTTTTCAAGGACATAAAAAGCCATGGGGGGTTGGGGGGAAGCCGTCTGCGTGCAGATCACGAGGTCAGGAGATCGAGACCATCCTGGCCAACATGGTGAAACCTCATCTCTACTAAAAATACAAAAATTAGCTGGGTGTGGTAGCATATGCTTGTAATCCCAGCTACTCAGGAGGCTGAGGCAGGAGAATCACTTGAACCCGGGAGGCGGAGGTTGCAGTGAGCCGAGATTGTGCAACTGCATTCCAGCCTGGCAACAGAGTGAGACTCCGTCTAAAAAAAGAAAAAGGCCCATGCATGTAAGAAATGTGGTAACATTTACTCTTTCCCGTTCCCTCATAAACACGAAAGAGCTCACACTGCAGAGAGACCTTAAGAATGTGGGAAGTGTGGTCAAGCCTTCAGATGTTCCTGTTTGTGAAGATTTGGGAGGACTCGGAGTGGGGAAAAGCCTTTTGAATTTAAATTTATGGTAAGGCCTTCAGTTGTGTTAGTTCCATCTGAAGACATCAGCTCATTCCTGAGAAAAGCCCTATGAATGTCCAGAATGTGGGAGTGTTTCATTTCTCTCATACCCACTCAAGGACATATGAAAATGCACACTGTAGCTGGCTGGACCTTGTAAATACAAGAACGTACACAGGATTCAAACTCTAATAGTTTAGAAACTGCAAGAATATTTTCAGTTTTAACATTTACTTGAAAAGTCATGTGAAAACTCCCACTGGAAAGGAGTTCTATAAGTGAAGCTTTTCTAATTTGGAAAGTCTGATACAAATTATCGTGCAGTGCTTGAAAAAAATGTGTGAAATCTTACACAAGTTACAAGTATATTGTTTTTATCAGTGACTCATTCTTAAAGAGTCTTGAGTATGCTTTTCACCTTATTTTGCAGGGAAACCTTGAGGTGAGAGTTCTGTAAATGCTCTTTGAGCTGTAGTACTTGAATTTCATAGGTAATGATATTTTCTTAAGTTTGTTGGTAGAATTTTTGTCTATTCATTTGATAATGTGCTGAATTCATGGTTCAATTTTGATGTTTTCCTAATATGTAGGTAAGTTTAATTTTTTTATTTTATTATTATTTTTTTGAGACGGAGTCTCACTCTGTTGCCCAGGCTGAAGTGCCGTGGTGCAATCTTGGCTCACTGCAACTTCCGCCTCCTGGGTTTAAGCGATTTTCCTGCCTCAGCCTCCCAAGTAGCTGGGATTACAGGCGCACACCGCTACGTCCAGCTAATTCTTTGTATTTTTAGTAGAGACAGGGTTTCACCATGTTGGCTAGGCTGGTCTTGACCTCATGATTTGCCCACCTCAGCCTCCCAAAGTGCTGGGATTACAGGTGTGAGCCACCGTGCCCGGCCAGGTAAGTTTAATTTGTATGTATTGTCCTGTGATTAATGGACCAGTGAATACTGATTGTTAATTGTTGGAATTTTTCTTACTAGCCTCATTTGGCAAATTTTGATTATCCCTTGTCCATTATACACATTTCACCTTTTTTTATTAAAGGAAAAACTACTCCTGATGTAGAGATGTTTACTTTTTGCTAATGATGAGTTGGTGTTAATTCCTAAGTACATAAAGTTTACCATAGAGTATCATCTCGTGAGTTCTTTGCATTTGTTGCCCTTTATTCTTTATTATTTGTTATTTGGATCGTTCACTTTGAATGAAGGAGAGAAAACTGTGATAGGACAATATGTTACCACTAATCTGAGGGAGGAAGCATCAAGTCTCTCAGTCACATATGATAGCATTGGACTTTTCATCGATGCCTTTGGTGTTGTAGTAGATAGTATTACGCCATTATGGTATTATAGTTTATATATTGTATTTTACAGTGTTACAGTCTTACCAGTCAGTGTCACATGATTCAGTTCCCTACCAGCCAATAGACAAACCAATCACATACTCTTCTAGGAACAAAGGATCATCCTCAGCCGGGCGCGGTGGCTCACGCCTGTAATCCCAGCACTTAGGGAGGCCGAGGCGGGCGGATCACAAGGTCAGGAGATCGAGACCATCCTGGCTAACATGGTGAAACCCCGTCTCTACTAAAAATACAAAAAATTAGCCGGGCGTGATGGCAGCGCCTGTAGTCCCAGCTACTCGGGAGGCTGAGGCAGGAGAATGGCATGAACCCGGGAGACGGAGCTTGCAGTGAGCCGAGATCGCACCACTGCACTCCAGCCTGGGCGACAGAGCAAGACACCGTCTCAAAAAAATAAAAAGGAACATCCTCACTTGTTTAATGCTATACCGCTCTCTGCTCCCAAGTTCATCCCTGTTTGGGCCTGTGGGAGCTTACACCATCCTCCTATATGTAATTAATAACTGATGTTTAGCTTATCTGTTTAGTAATAGATGTCATGTATTTAACGGTGCCGGTAAACGTAGGGTGCTCATTCCTTCCTTACCAGTGGGGTGCATGAGACGCTATTAAAACAGTTGGCAGCACAAATGGAATGGACCAGCCCTCATGCAGGACACCTGCTCAGCTTGACCTACCTGCTGTCGACTGACGGTTCCGTAACACATCAGCAGTCAGCTGGGTCAGAACCGTGAGCTGACGATGGGCTTCCCTTTGGTCTGCACAGTGTTTTGTGGTCTTCAGGTGTTTTCATCTTCTCCCACACTAAAATGCTGTCATCTCCTAGACATGAATGTTCAGTTGCACCCCAGCATGACGTTTGGCCTGTGCTTAGCCAGCAGTTTTGAGGCCCTGGCTTATTAATGCACAAAAGCACAGCACATAAGCCGACACTTAAGTCCTGATTAGCAAGAATCAGGCTGTATCTCTGTAGTCACTGCATCTACTGTGGTCACCATCACCGTATGCGTAGGGCAGCCATGTGAACATTGTTAATTATTGTACACTCCCGAGACAATAGTTATTATGTAGGCAGAAGTAGTGGCCTTGTTTGTTTCTTGTGCTGCTGCTCCCCTTGGTGCTGTCCCATACACCCTCCTGATGAGGTGTACATCTATGGTGCCTCATGGTTCAGGCACTGATGAGCAAAGAAAATGGGAAGAAATAGTTTGATCTTAGCCCCTGCCAAAGCATATGAAGAAGCATCTCAGCTGCTTTCACTGAAAAATTCCTGGCCCGTGTGTGGGTTTTTCTTATCACTGCTGCTTATCAGCATGTCAGAAGTCTTATCTTTGGACTGCAAATCTTGCCGGCCTTAGACATAATGGCCTTACTGCATGTGGAGCTAACCCCAGGAAGATGGAGTGACACTCTCTGGAGGATTAGGTGGTCTCCTCCAATGTGGGTTGATGGGCTCCTGAACACTTTCTTTTAACCATGCAGAGAGTCCACACTGCCAGTGATCATGTGCCACAACTCTATAGATGTAGAAACTCAAAATATTCTGAAACAGTTTCCATTGAAAGGGAAGAGAAAAGCAGTCAGGTGCCACGCTCCGGTCAAGAGAACTAGTAGATGGCTCACAAGAACACTCTGTCGCTACTGTCTGTGCCTCTGTCACAGCAAATATCCTGATCCTTCAGTTTTAAGGGTGCAGGGCCATTTTCTTCCCTTTCTTACTGGTAGTTCTCGAGATAACTGTATGATATGCTGGGAAAGCAATATCCTGATAATCAGGTGCCATTGGTCAGAACAGCCCGGGCTCTGTTATAGGCCCTGCTCGAAACAGAACGGCCTTTAACGTTTGTGTCCAGGAAACCACATCCTGGGAGAAAACCCAAGGTGGGCTGCTTTCTGGGGTCCCTCAGTTGTAGTGCAAGTGAAGCGTTTACAGTCAAAGCTCCATCCATCTGCTCTGGGTAGCCTTCCTGATCTTGTGGTAGCGGTTCATATTGAATCCTAGACTTCTGTTGTCTTTTGTTTGCTATTTGTAAGTAATAAATTCACTTCATGGGATTTATGTATGAATGTGTTTGGTCTCATTGTACTCAGAAAAGTTGGTAGCCATTGCACAGTGAACCCTCTTTCGTAATTGGTGAAAACACTTATGGCCCCCTTGTGCCACAGCAAAGAGGTTAATTCAGCCAGACAAAAACTTAATGTTCTTAAAACCCTGTAGCACAATTATTAGCATGTGGGAGGCCTTTAACAATGGTGATGCTGATTTGAAGAACTCTGCAGGAAGAAATTTACACAAATGGGTTGGGTACATGGGCGTTCCTCCTAACTTAAAGCAACCCTTACTCCCCTCCGCCTAAAAAGAGTGGAGAGGCCGGGAGCGGTGGCTCAGGCCCGTAATCCCAGCACTTTGGGAGGCCGAGGTGGGCAGATCACCAGGTCAGGGGTTCAAGACCAGCCTGGCCAACATGGGGAAACCACACCGCTACTAAAAATACAAAAATTAGCCGGGCGTGGTGGCGGGCACCTGTAAGCTACTTGGGAGGCTGAGGCAGGAGACTCGTTTGAATGTGGGAGGCAGAGGTTGCAGTGAGTCGAGACCATGCCACTGCGCTCCAGCCTGGGTGATAGGGCAAGACTCTGTCTCAGGACAAAAAAAAAAAAAAATGTATAAGAACTGAAACACGTTTAAAATTTCACCTAATTGGAAATGCAAAGTTTACAAAAATAATATTTAAAATAAAAGGTTAAATGAATGCTCATTGAATTTTATGCCTCCACAAAATAGGTTGTGAATTAACTTCCACGTTTGTTGAAAGCCACCAAAGTTGGGAAGCCTCCGTGTCTGAAATTCACATGTGGCTCAAATAAGCATTATACCTGGGGATACCCCAAAGTTTAAATATGGTATCCCCTATGATATTATGAGGAATTACTGTA